CATGAGATATTGGCCTGGCCGGGCAATTTGCACGGCCTTCCAGGGAGGGCATTAGCATATAAATAGCAGATGCAATGACGACCATCACAGCTGAGCACGTTTAATTTTTAGTTTATAAGATAGAATGGGTTTTTAAATGCATAGCCATCAAGCCGCTGAAAGACAAATGCAGTTTGGAACTCACTTGTCTGACGAGGCCTTACATCATTTTTTTTTAAAAAAGGGAAACAGACACACATAAAACTGAACAAAAGTGATTTCTTGGGTGAAAAGTAATTGAGATTGCGCACCAAGTTAATTAGATCGTACAAAATTTATTTAATGGTCCCAGCTGTATCTCCGGGCCTGTGTTTGGCGGGGGACCTGCTTCCTGGCGCGCGGGCTGCTCTTCCCCTTCCTTCTCAGATAATTAGTAACCTCACTACCCCTACTTCTGCAAACTGATTGCATTGTATATTTTAGCCGTTTTATTGCTTGTTTAATTATGATCGTGGAGGCTCATTTTTCTAAATCCTTTTAACTGTGGGTGAGAATCAATTTGTATAAAACCAGCAAAGGCCCAATGTGCTCCTCCACACCACCCCATGGCGGGGTGGGGGTGGGAGTTCATGGGAGGCCACTGCAGGAAGCAGGCATATACCCTGGCATCTTGGGGGTAGACCGGGTTCTGCAGCCCTTGCACCAAAGCCAGCCTCAGCAAGGTTTCCAGTAGACCTGAAGGGCTCAGCCTGTCATGCCTGTACCTGTTAGGGAAGTGTGAGCAGAGATGCCCTGCCCTGCCTTGCCCTGCCCTGCCCGACTTACTGCCCCTTCCAGAGGGTCTAGCCTTCCACTGACCTGTCTCCTGCATTCCAGTTTCTCAAGCACATTTATTTTATGTTGTTCCAACACAGTTGGAAAATACAGCTCCTAGGTGATTAAAAGCATACTGCTCTTGGAATTTTATTATTATTATTATTTTGTTTAATTGCCAGAGAAGAGAAAGCAGTGGGGTGTGGTCATATTATAATTCCTTCTCCATTTCTCCATCCTGACAGGATTTGGGATATGCACACACACTCACCCCATGTGTTTTTCCAAGCCGCTGGGGCTGGGATTGGAGCTGTGTTGCATGGTTGGCCATATGGGATGAGCTGTCTTAACCATTAGGCTGGCTAACTCCTGAGAAGATTTTAGAAGTCTGACTGTTGAAGACAGCTCCAACCCTGGTACCTCCGTGGGACTGTGATCGCCTTTACATGATCCTTATCTCTAGGACTGTCCTCCGTCTGACCTTGTCTGGGACCTTGGCAGTGGGTCTCTTCTGCTCCTGCCTCTTGGTTATTAATTTCTCAAGCGTACTGAAGACCTCCTGAATAGCCAGAGGGTTTCTTCCACGTAGTCCTTAAATTTCCCTTTTGACTGCTCTGCATTTTTGAGGCTGTGGGAGAGCCACAGTGAGCTTCTTTTCTCTGGCCAAGCCTGTGTACGAGGCCTGAACAAGTCATAGTGTTTGGCAGCTGGTTTGGCTTAGTATCCCCTTTGTCACATCAGAGATGTCACTGCGCATCCATGATGTGCAAGTGTGTCTGGTGTCATGATGTCCACATTAGATTACCAGGGGAACTGGGTGTGCCGTGTGGATTTCAGGCATCCGAGTCCATCCCATGTGAATTAAGACCTATAAATGGAAACTTTTAAGCTTACATTTAGTATTTACCAGTCTCTCTTTTTTTAAGAATTAGATTATTTAGGGACCAGCAGTTAGCATAATGGCTATGTTGCTGGACTCCCATGTAGTCGACTATGGTTCGAGTCCTGGACCCAGTGGCTTAAAACTCAGGCCGGGCGCATGTGCGTGCGTGCCCAAGATCCCGAGAGGAGAATGGAGGAGAAGAGATTGCAGTGTGACCATCCCCCTGGGGGGTGATTTCTCGCTTTCTGTCTCTTTGTCTTTTTTTTTTTTTACGAATTATTTATTTATTTATTTTAATTTGACCAGAGAGGGACAGAGAGGGAGAAAGTGAGAAAGAAAGCCACCAGGTCCGGGACTCAAACTGTGGTCGGCCATGTGGGAGTCCAGTGCCCTTAACCACCATGCCACTTGCCAGCCCCTACTCTCTCTGTCTTTCTGGCATTTTGCCGCTCTGCCAGGACATTGGCCCCTCAGCAAAAACTTCTCCCCCCCAAAAAAAGAATTAGCTTATTATTTTATTTTATTTTAATTTGACCAGAGAGGGACAGAGAAAAAGTGAGAAAACAAGCTGCCAGATCTGGGACTCAAACCATGGTCAGCCTTGTGGGAGTCCAGCGCTCTTAGCCACCCTGCCACCTGCTGGCCCCTGTATTATCAGTCTCTTAGTTTCTAGTTGGAATCTGCTGTATGGAAATGGATGGTGTGGCCAGCTCTGGCCCAGGAAAAAGCCCCAAGGTCTTATTAGAAGCAGAGATCTGCCTGGAGGACCCAGCTGGGTATTTACAAAGGGAAACGTACACAGCCCAGTACGGCCTTATCCTTGCTAATTTAAGAACAAAGAGGAACCCAGGGCTCCAAATTTAATCAGAAGTAAACCATTTTAGTTGGGGAGAAAGAAGGTACAATTCCTAATAGTTAGCTAAGCAGTTAAATATTTTTTAGGAAATGAAAATTTGATAAAAGTCCCTGGTGAAATTCAAGGGTGTGAGCAATAAGCATAATATTTTATGAAAATGACCCCCATATTTAAAATCTGGCACTATATGTTATGCATTGTAGCACCCAGTCCACATCTACCTTTTAGAAAATTAAAACACATAAATTCTGTTTAGTGTTTGATACGCACTGCACTAGCCGAGAACCGTAATGCCCTAAACCTTGGGCTGCTTTCCACCTTTCATAAATTCCTGGGTAGATTCTATACAAAAATAATTTTCAGGTCCGTGGCTCATTGTTATTCAAACGTGATTGATCGTCGTCATTTGCTCAGCTCGGGAGTTAAGTGCCCCTGTCATTTCCAAAGAGTATAATTGGGACGTTTCACAGGTCAGCGATGGAGACAGGCTTCCCTTTTGATCAGTGTTAGACTGATAACAAAAATTACAGTTTCCAATGATTAATGTCTCCTGTGCTTCCCAGATGCACAGCCGTGGGCTGTACCTAAACAAAGTGCATTTGCATCTGATTATGCCTCTCCTGGGCAGCAGTCTCCTCCACGGGGGCATCAGGGCTCAGCAGGTACGGCCAGATGTGGCTGCTGATGCCCTGGCCTCTGGTGGCCACACGGGGCTCTGCCCGGTGAGTGGCAGCTGCACCAGGGGTGCCGTCTGCAAGTCGGGTCTGTGCAACTGGAGGTCTGTTGTCCCGCCCTGAAAGACTGTTGGCCCCTCCTCGGGAGGATCCTCCTTCAGGAATGGTGCCCCAGTGTGTGCACCTTTAAGGTTTTGACTACTGAGAATGATCTTTAAAAATCACATATCAGAATGGTTAAGCTTTTTAGCTCCTCATAATGCTGTAAGTAAGGGCCCCCTTGGTTGCTCTTCATCTGACAGGGATATCTTTTTCTGGATGTTTTCTTGAACTGGCATATGGCTGTGGAAATGGTATGGCCATTGTGACCTTGGGGTATGACTTTGGCTACTCCAACAGGCCCCTGTCATGACCTGAGAGGCTGAAGGGAAGAAAGGACCTTCCTGGTGGGGCAGCCTGGCGGGTGGTGTGGAGGGTAGCAGCGGAGTGGGGTCCTGTCGGGAAGAGCAGGATCTCCGCTCCCTGTCCTGGGTGTGGCCCAATGTGAAGGTGGCGCGAGGGAGCCTGACCTTGCAGGCTGCTTTCTCAGCAGAGCCCATGGGGGCAGGCATGCCCTCACCTGTGGGCGTCTGTTGTCACTGCTGTTGGTGGCACGTTTGTATGTGTGCGGGTGAAACCATGGGTCGCAGCCATGCAGCAGCAGCTTTGTACATGCTGTGCTCTCCTTTATGTTTGGAGGAGCTGCCATTTCCCTCTGTCCCCATGAGGTGAGTCTGCCATGCAGGTCCCTACCCCTGCTCACTGAGGCAGGCAGGAAGAGGGGCGGGGTGGGCATGAGAGCCTGGCTTTGTTTGGGGCTGGGCGTAGCCTTCCTGTGCAGTTCTAGGAGGCAACACCTGGGCTTCACAGAGGACTTACCTCCAGCACCCCAGCTCCACCCGAACTGCCCAGGCAAGGGCGGGAGGTCTTGTCCAAAGGCAACTCCGATAACTTTTAACAGGTCTACCTTAAAGACAAAATAGTCCCGAAGTGCCTGACCGTGTGCTGTCTGACACGTGGTGGTCCCCTTAACGCCCCAGGAGGGGCCCCGTCCACCCTAGGCGTGGTGTACCCACTTGGCTGGTGGAGTAGGCGATGGTCATCTAAGTCCTGAGTCACATCTGCCACCTCATCATTGCTTCCATCCTGTGACTGAGCCGATGTGTTTTCCTTACAAGGATGAGGAGGATAGTTCATCCCATGGGGAATGGGGATTTGGGCAGGTTTACAATTTGTGGTTATTTATTTATTGATTTGTTTTTGAGAGGTTTTTGCTATAGGATGCTTGCGCTCTCCAGAAAGACAGATAGAAAGCGAGAAACCGCCCCCCAGGGGGGATGGCCACGCTGCAATCCCTTCTCCTCTGTTCTCCTCTTGGGATCTTGGGCAAGCACGCACATGTGCCCAGTGTGAGTTTAAGCCACCAGGTCCGGGACTCAAACCATGATCAACTACATGGGAGTCCAGCGACATAACCATTATGCCAACTGCTGGTCCCACAATTTGTGGTTATAACATAGGCTCTAAACTGCCCCTGAGTAGCAGCAGTGTAGTGAAAGTGCAATTTTAGGAACAAGGACAGCCTCGGAGACCATCTCGAATCTGACCTTGTCTGACACTTAGATCCTAAACTAGAGGAAAAGCTCCACAAGAAGTTGGAACCCGAGGGCGTGGGGCAGAGGGGAGCTTTGCCTGCCGACAGCTGTTTTATACACTGAGTCTGGGTGTGTATTTGTACTTGGGGGTGTTTCCACAGACAGAAGCCCTGGCGGATGGGGAGGACGAAGACGATGAGGACTTTGTAGAAGTCCCAGAGAAGGAGGGGTATGAGGCCCACATCCCCGACCACCTGCGGCCAGAGTATGGTAAGTTGCACAGACCCCTTGGAGTAGGGGGTGGGGTACCTGAGGGAGGAGGGTTACTTGCTTAGGCCACTGCCCCTCGGTACTGTGACCACGCACATGGCTAGGAGTGGGCCCCGATCAGGACCCCAGCCTGCTATGCCTGATTATGCCTAAAATTACATGGTTTTTCCTTCTCTGCCTGGTCCTTCATTGACAGGCAGGCCCTCAGGCACCCACACCTAGCGCAGGGCTGCCATTTCACTATTGATTCCTGTGTGTGGAGCCTGTACTGTGGCAGGTCCTGACCTCCCACCTATAGTTTCCGGGTACCCCCAGTTCCAACCAGCTGCCCAGCTCAGGAATGGAAAGGTTTTCTCTGTGAGATGAGTAAAGGGAAGCTCCGCCACCACCGCTACCCCAGGGCCTCCCACAGGGCAAGCAAATAAAAACAAGACCTCTGGCTTTTGTGGTGAAAGACAAGTCAGTTTGAATCAGAGTCTGTAAGAAGAAATGTAAATTTGTTAAAAGAATTTAGATGATTAGACAACTCATGTGTGAAGATATGACCCATTAGGGGTGTCATGCCAAATTAACACAACCAGACTTCTAACGACCTTCCATTTGTATGGTCCCTGTTTACTCTCCAGCCTGCTGTCTTCAGCCCTGCCAGGCTGGAGGGGAGGGCCAGGGCAGGGCAGGCAAATGTCTGGAGGGCAGCATGTGAAAGTCAGAGGAAGCCTCAAACACTGAGGGCTGGCCAGGGACTGAGTCTGGCCTGTTGGACAGACCTGTTTCCTGCCTCCTCCCCTACCCCCACCTGTACATAGGCCCCGGCCACACAGACATTGCTGGGTGAGACCCCTCCCCTACTCCTCAGCATTTAGCTACCCTCCGACCACCCAATCTTCTTCTGGTTCACCCTGCTCCCCACTGAGAGCTGGAGCTTTCAGACAGAGCTACCCTAGGGTGGCCACAGCCAAGTGCCCACACTTAACACAAGGCACTCAGGAGGTGCCCAAAGCATGCTGTTGAGTGCCGTGACTCCTTTCTTTGCACTGAGTGGTCTTTGCGCCTACCCAGCTCTCTGCCACCCTTAACTGGACAAGTCTTGGGTCTGGCCTCAGGGAGGTGCTGGTTGATGTGCAGCCATACCTGGGGACTGCTAGGTCAGGAACAGTGGGCGGTGGGGGCAGGATAAGCAGAGAGTGGTTTGCTTGGCCCTCGGTCACTCCTCCTCAGGGTCTTGCAGAGGAGCCCAGGCAGTGGACAGTATCTGCCTGGGCACCACCCTGCAGCTACTGGCAGCCTGCTTTGCTTAGACCTTTCCATCCCAGCTGGGCTGTCTCAGCTTCCTCCCTAACACCTGGATCAGTCACCCAGGAAAGGTCAAGATGTGTGACCCTACGGCCCTGAGTTCCTCCTTGGGAGTCTTCAGGGAAGTTGGAAGCCAGCAGTGACTCTTGGCTTGTAGTATTGCTGAAGTTTTCTGGTCCTGGGCCTGTTCTTCCTGTTTTGATGGCTCTCAAGTTCTTTCAGCAGAAATCGTAAATCTGACATGGGCTAGAATGGGTGATGTTTGACATCTCCATGAGATGTCAGAAATCTACTCTTTACCTAAAATCTTACTCATGGCTCCAAATGATCTAGAAAAAGACCACAAGTGAAAAGCAGACAAGCAGGGGATTCTCCTCAAAAGACAAAACAGTTTCCTTCATCAAAATGAATGAGGCTATCTCTAACTTCATTGGGAATGGCCAGTAACAACAGTGCCATGGATGTCCTCTCATGCAGTGCTCACTCTCACATTAGCTTTACGGCCAAGGACATGGGCACACAAATGCTACCCACCAACCGGAGGTCAGGAGCTGTTGCAAATCCTTTGACATTCCTCCTGTTTGGAGGTGGGCCCCTGTCCCCTACTCCCTTCAATCTGGGTGGTTCGTGACTATTGACCAGTAGAGTCCAATAGACAGGACTGAGTTCTGAAAGGCTTTGCAGTCCCTCACCGGCTTGCTGGGTCACTTGACTGACAGAGCCATGAGCGGCCAGATGAGACTGCCATGCTGCGAGGAAGCCCAGGCTACACAGTCATGGGTAGGCATGTTGAACCCTGTGCTTGGTCAGCCCAGCCAGCACCCGATGTGGGTGAAGACATCTCAGATGTTGCTAGTCGGCCTTTTATTTTCCCAGCTCAGGCCTGGGGCACAACAGAGCAGGGAGGAACTGGGATGTTCCTGGCCCAGAAAATCTGTAAACTGAATCTGTTGGCCCATCACTGAGCTTGGGGGTAGTTTCTTACACAGCAGCAGAGAATGACACCTGTCCTCTGTATCCCTGGAACCCTGTCTCATCAGCCTGCATGGAGACCATCCACTGACTTCTTAAGGCTGCGTAAGAGGAGAGCCCAGACCACCAGAGCTCACGTGCACCCAGCCTGCGGGAGGGGCAGGGCAGAGACCTGGTGGTCGTATTGGCACTAATTCACCCCCTCTTCTCTGAAAGGCTCCTGGCATTCTGTCTTTAGCCTCAAGTTTAGTAATGGCAGGTTGGGGCCAGGTGCTGCTGGCTCATGTTCTTAAAAGGGCAAGAAGTTAACAGATGTGTGATGGAGAACGTGGTGGGCAGCATGCTGTGCGCCATCAGCCCCTGCGAGGTCATTGGCTGGGGGGGGGGGGGCGGGGCGCGGCGCGCGCA